CTAGGAAGAAGGAGTAGGACTTTTGCCCAAAGCTGAGGTGATGGGGCTGCCATGTCCAAGGGAGAAAAGAATGAGGCCTACCCAGTCGTCATAGGGGCTGGGAGGCTGAGGACACAAATAGCCACTCCTAGTTGGACAGCAGGGCTGCCCAAAGCCGAGGGAACAGTTACCCTTCCTGTGGTCTGCTCATCCACTAATTTCTGCTAACCTAATATTTCCCTCTCCCCCTTCATCCCCTTTTCCCTTTTAAGAGTTACTCATGACCTGTTCCATGTTGTTAATTATCCATATTATCTGCCCATTCTCTCCAGGTACATCCTCCCTTCCCCTGATCTTTTAGTGTTCATTGTTTGCACAATCTATTTGTACTCTTCCCTGTACCCCTCCCCAGCCACCCTCTTGTTTTCACAGTAGAAGTCTTATGCAGGAATTGTCTTTTTGTGACTGAATTATTTCAGCATATTTTTCTCTAGATTTGTCTGTGTTGTATAGTTATAGTGTTTTACCAATTCTTCATTGTTTTTAACATTGCATAGTATTCTATTGTGACTTTACCAGTATCTCTATCCATTCATTTGTTGATGCATTTGGGTTGTTTCATCTTCTTGCTATCTGAATAATGCTGCAGTAAACATTGGTGTATCTGTTTGGGTCTCACCTCTAAGTTGTCTTGAGGCATTCCTGGTAGTGGATGTTGTCATGATGTGCTATCCAAGTCAACCTGACTCATAGCTGACCCTCTAGTATGTTTTAAGAGGCAATATATCACATGGGCAGTCAGGAGATGAAAAAATGAATTGCTTTGGGAAAGTCTGCTATCGGGGACACCATCTTGCCCCCTTCACGCGCCTTGAGTGCTAAAGAGCAGCGGTATCAGTCTAAGAGACTAAGGTGCACCTGAGTCAGACCACAGTCTTCTTAGTTACTTCCTATGTATCTGAGAGCTGCACAGTGAATGAGGTTGACAGAAGAAGCATTGATGCCTTTATGTTGCTGGAAAAGAATATTGAACACACTATAGAGTGCCAAGAGAACAAGCAGGTTTGTCCTGAAGGGGGTGAAACTAGGTTGCTCCTTAGAGGCAAGGATTTTGAAGCTCTGTCTCACATACTTTGGGCATATTGTCAGGAGAATATCATGCTTGGAAAGGTGGAGAGAGTGTGTAGAAGAGGAAGACTACAAATCAGATGGGTTGACACAGTAACTAGGGTAGTGGGGGTAGGTGTGTTGGAGACAGTGAGGCTGGCTCAGGATTGTGCAGGGTTTGGGCCTGTGGTGCACAGGATTGCTACGAGTCCCAAGCAACTCAACGGCACATACCTAACAACAAAAGATACAATAGTTTTTTATAAAGCTTTGGTCATAATCTTAAAATAAATTTTAAGTTGCTTCTTATCCTGCAAAGCTTTGACTTTTTTTTTTTAAATTTTTTTTAATTATTATTTTGTGTGTGTGTGTACCGTCAAATTGAATCTGACTGGTACAGGAGGAGATTGTACCTCCTTTCCCAGCAGAGCATCTGGTGGATTTGAACCGTGCAATTCTGGGATTGCAGTGCAGCTTCTTGCCACTAGGCCACCAGAGCTCCCCTAAAACTTTGACTTTTATGTATAAAATTCACAAGAGATTCTTTTAACATAAATTTCCTTCCTAATACTAGTATATTCTCTTAAACTTTCCCCTCCTCCTTGAGCATACTATTTTAAAAACTTTCAATTGTTGTTGTTGTGTTGTTATGTGCCTTCGAGTCGCCTGCGACTCATAGCGACCCTATGTACAACAGCCCTAAACTCCGCTCTGTTCTGTGCCAATCACACTGTCTCTGACACTCCCATCCCGATTACCCCAGTCACTGAATCAATCCACCTCATAGAGGGCCTTCCTCTCCTGCGCTGTCCTTCCACCCTCTCA